TTCTGGAGGTGGGATTGGTCGAGAAAGAGAGACTTCACGTAGTTCTGGTAAAGAGGGCGTCTCGCTTGACATATCTGTAGCCAAGAATGGGGTCCCTGGTTATCCTACCGAAATGGTGAGAGACAAGGACTGGGTACACATTCCACCTAGGTTCGATGACCAACAATAAAGCTTCATACAGAAATATATTCACATTCATTAAGGCGCTATTCTGGTCAGTTTTAGTATATGTGACCCGGTGTTGCTGGGGGCAGGTGGTCCTCGTTCAAAGCTGCAGTTTTCGTCGACTCAAACAAAACCAACCCCTAAAGCTCACAGGGGACGATTCAGAATAAAATAGGATGGCCGCAAATGGGGCTACAACCTCGACATTTGCGTCACTTTTGAAGCAGTCAAAATTTGCAAGCTATTCACCTTCGATCGCTCAAGTCTATACCACGTATGGAGGGCATGCATCCAGGGGTGATTGGGGTGTTAAAAGACCTCTATCTGCCCGAAAGCGCAATAAGGCTCTCCTAATTCAGTCCATCGACTCCAGAGAACAACAAACCGAGTTTAGAAGCGGAGAGCCTGAAGCGAAAATGGTCCAGCGCTGGGAAGAAACGGGAAAGGATGTCATTCCTTCCGCAAAGGCTTTAGGTGGTACATCATGGAGTGCTCAATATGCCAATAGGCCAAGGGGGGAGCTCCCTATTGACTCCGAATTCAGTGCCTATACTGATACCCCAGACCCGCTCGCTGGGCCTGCTGGAGCAAACCCAGCTCTAAGGGTGAAGACAGCACCTTCTATTGAGGCCACTCCCAATCCTTACCTCATGAGCGAGCGGGAATTCAACCGTTATTTGGAGCGTGTGCGCACATTTCGACCGGCCTTCCGAAAATATATCCGAGCACAAGAGATAGCGGAAGCCAATCGTGTCGGGAAAGATATACCAGACATCTTGCAGAGTCCACCAAATCTCTATCGAATGCGACGCGAGAAGAGAGGGGAATCGATGACCGGCAGCTTCCTCAACGAGATGGCTTACCAACTTCACGGCGCACCGGAAAGTCAAACTCTTGAACCGTATCCTCATCGCAATGGTGGTCTCTATTACCCGATCCCCAACGCTTTCCAAACCACCCTTCTTCATCCACCTATCCCAGCTCATTTCACATCAGTCGATTCGGAGTCAACCTATGTGTCTGCAGCGGGAATGAATGTCAAAGTTGGAATACCAGAT